ATCTACCTATCTATCTATCTCTATCTATCTATCTATCTGTCTGTCTGTCTGTCTGTCTGTCTGTCTGTCTATGTATCTATCTATCTTTCTGTCTATCTATGTGTGTAATATGTATAAGTTTACTCAGTCGTGCACATCATAGAAGATCTTCAGGGCATGTTGTAAGGTTGATGTGAGGTAGAGCACGATCGCCTCTGGCATTCTGAACGACATGCTTTGCTGTCGCTGCTGAGCCAGCTCCTGACAAGGCGCCATTGAGACCCGTCAGAGTTTTCAGAGCTGGTCGTGCTTCGTCAATGGCTGAGATTCGTGATAGCACAGCAAAAGTTGTCGGCCTTACCCCGATGTGTCTAGCTGTTTCTTGTGACCACCACTCTTCCTATGTGCCCCTGTTTCTTGTGACCACCACTCTTCCTATGTGCCCCTGACGACAGGACAGCTCATCTCCCCAGCACCTGAGAGTTTGACAGCCGGGCACGGTGCTACATCAGGGTTCCTTCTTAATTCATTTGATAACAATCTAAGGAAAGTTTCGGGATTGCTAGAGTTTCCTAAGGTTTTGCGGTGTTTGCTGGTTCTGGCGGGCTTAGCCAATCTTCTGCAACGTTGGCTTTCCTTCAACTTGTGACACCCGACGCTGTGCTCCTGGATACACATTGAAGTACACCAAGAAAATGTGCCTTTTTCCGAACTGACCGATACTTTCCATGCCCGCTTGCTACGAAAAAGAGTGTTCTTGCGTCAGAACTACACAATGCCGGCAGAGTCCTGTCCAACAAAAGGGTTACTATCAGGAAGAGTGCATGCCCTCATTTCGGACTTCCGGTCCCGGTGGCAGCATGGTAGTGTCGAGTTGCTCTCTGGAGCTGCCATGTACTGACAATGGCACCTGCCACCGAGACAGTGGTTGCATATCCGTGCCCGCCAAGCCTTGGAGCTTGAAACAAAGCTGCTTCAGTACATGTTAAGCTTGAGTCTCCTGAAACCTGACAGGCCGATAGCTTGAGACCCAGCAAGACCAGTCAACCTTAGGATCGCATACCCAGATTAAGTATCGCAGAATCTGCCGAAAGCAATGGTCTTCTGCTGTGTCCTCGCCCCTGCTGCTGCCACTCGCCCAGCAAGGATACACTTTTCTGCAGACACGACAAACTGTCTATCTCTCTCTCTCTCTCTCTCTCTCTTTCTTCTTGGGTGAAGTACAAGGCCGCGAAGTGCAATGTGTGTTCTTTGCCCATGATCCCCGAAAGCGTTTTACGAGCAAACGCCGTGCCGCATTTCTTGAGGCCGCGCGCCGTGGTGATGGCCGGCGGAGGAGGTGGGCAAGAACCCTCCCCTGAAGCCGGAATGGTCCAAAGACCTGACCGGATTTAACCTAACATAACCCGATACCCAAGTCTGTTTTTCTTGAGTCTAAGACCCGGGCCCAAACCCCGATTCTACTTGACCGACTGGCGCGCCGGCCGGACGCTCCGGGCGAGCGCTGGCTGTATTGTTTGTAAATTGCCTATCCACGCTTGTTTGTCTATTTCCATCTAACCAGTCGTTCGTCTGTTGATCACTCTGTATGGCTGTTCGTCTCCCTATCCAGCTACATAACTTACGAACGAGTGACCACTTATCTGTATATCGTCTGAGTACCTTCATGTCAATGAGAGTTAGTGCATTCATGCCGGTGTATGCGCGCATGTTGTCTGTAGAAGTGCCTCTGACGCAAGAACTGCCAGGAGTACGTACGTAGGCAGGTAGGCAGGATGGCATATGCTTGTGCATCTATGTATGTCTGCCTGTACACACGCCTGAGCATTTGGTAACATCTGTTTGCCTGCCTGCCCGCCTACCTGCCTGCCTGCCTGTCTGCCTGCCTGGCTTCCTGTCTGCCTGTCTTTCTTGATGAATCTATGCATGCAAAAAAATGTTATGCACAGAAGTATTTGCAAAACTGTGTGTACATGTGCATTCGCGTGGGCGTGAGTGCGCATACATGGATGCATGCATGTAGATATGTAAGTGTACCTACTTGTATCTCTCTCCCTCTCGCCACATGAATGTGAGCAGCACGCAGCAAGCATGCGAACTGCGAAGCACCTTTACTAAGTCTTACCAAAGCCATAAACCGTGAGTCTCTTTGTATCAAGACTCAGCTCTGAGTGTGGCCCCTTTGACCAGGCATCTCTCTGGCCTGGCCCGATCCTGAGCCTTGGCTTCCTTGCGGTGCAGTCGCACACGGGGGTTATGACATCTGTTATCCTCTATGTATGTTATGTGTGTATGCGTGTAATTATGTACATATATGTATATATGTATATATTTATCTATTTATGTGCATATATCTATACATGTGCATACCTGTATAATAATACTAATATCAGTTCAAATATGCATATGTGTATGTATGATTATATGTTTTTCTAGTTTCGCTCTCATACCGTTGCCGTTCGAGTACGTTACACCGTTACATACTTCATAAGCGATGGTTTCTGTGGGCTCTTCAAATAAGCTGACTGACCCGAGGAATGCGACGTGTTGGCCCGTAGACTGTACAATTATGCCGACGCGGATTTCAGTGGAGATGTCAGCAGCGAGGAGATTTTGACAGCATCTCGGCAGAGGGACGTTTCAGCTGGTTTGAGCTTATGTGTCCGGCAGAGGTACTGCGCGAGCTCAGGTAGCAGAGCAATCTGCACCAAACCTGTGTGACATGCACGGTAGGTACTTCCGTGACGAGTTAGAACTGTCTGCACTATGCCAAGTGCATGTATATGCCGCATAGGCCCTGCACCTCGCTCGTAAGCAGATCAACCTTTCAGCGGCCACACAGTCAAGGAGCCCAACTGGACATACTAGATTATTTGTCTACCAGCCACATGTTCGTAAGTATGCAAGCAGGTGCGTAAGTACAAGAACTGGTAAGTAAGTAGGTCCATAGGTAGGTGGGCCGCGTGCATGCGCACGCATGCATGCGTCTGCACTGTTATATACCTACAGCCTCTTGAGCCACGTTTTTGTAGACGGACGTACACCGCTGGTATCAGAGGTGCTCAGACAGCTCGGCGATGAGCTGGGAATTCCTGAGGAAGACATTCGAACTCTCCCGGTTGTGCCTGCAGAGTCGCTCGGCTCAAGCAGGTGCAAGGCGAAAGAAACGAAAGCAAGAACAGCAGGGTCGCAGCACCATACACCATCTTGGATTGCTTCCAGATCGCGACACCGGATCACACCGCCAGGGCTGTCGATTGAAGTTCACCTATGAATCTGGGAACCCCGGCAGCTCGCACCCTTAGAACGAAACCCGTGATGCGACATACAATGTTTGACTTCGTTCTGGGTTGATCAGATATGGGAGTTTCCGAAAATGGGGGGGGGGGG